CCGTCGTTGTTCCCACGACCTCGAAGGTCCTGTTTTCTCCCTTATGCCTGCTCAGATCCTGCGTGACTGCAGGCCACGGGGCAGTGGTGTCTCACGCGGGTCCCCCTGCCTGCCGCGCCTCAGACCCTCTCGCTCTCACTCCTCCCTAGACTCTTACTGCTCATACCAGTCTCTGGGTCATTGCCCACACACAGTGGCACGCCAAGGCCTTAGTTCAGGCCAGTGGACTCAGGGCTCCACACTTGACCCTTGAGCTGAATATTTTGACTCATATAGTATCTAGCTTCATGTGTATGGTTAGAAGCACCACGGAGAATTTCCCTCTGATCTATTGTACCAAGACCTCGTGCAGAGACTGCTTCCCATGGATAAAATGCAAAGTAGAAGAAATTTATCATTGGTGCTTTCTAATACAGCTCCCCCTGCTAAATTATACTAACATGTGGAAGGTTATATGTATATGTACCCTGCTTTCTCCCTACTCTGTTTTTCTTTCCAATATGGAAAAATAATAATAATAATAATAAACAACAGCAACTTATTACTGAGTACCAGATACTTCCCTAAGCACTTAATGAGTATTAACTAATTTAGTCTTTCTAACAATCCTTTGAGGCAGATATGATTGTTATTATCCTATAATCCTCCTATTATAGATAAACAGACTAAGACACAGAGAGGTTAAGAAACTTGTCTAAGGTCACAAAGCTGGTATTCAAAGCTAGGCATTTAATTATGCTGTACTGCCTCGCTAATAAAATAAGTGAAAGTAATGCCTCCTAAGCACTTATAAAAATCAGGTAGTAATGTGTATGTACCACTGAGCTATAATAGCTAGAAAGGACACAGAGTCTGAAACAGGCTCTAGGCTCCAGTGACCAGTTGTCAGCACAGAGCTCATTGCAGGGCTGGGACTCACAAACCATGTGATCATGACCTGAGCTGAAGTCGGACGCCTAACCAACTAAGCCATCCAGGCGCCCCTAGTTTCTGAATTCTAATGCTAAGACTGCTGGCAAACTGGGGTTGACCACGGGGCTGGGGCCATGCCAGCTCAGCCCAAACCTGCGTATCAGCTCTTACCATCCAGCCACGGACAAGAGACAGGATGGAGGGTTCCAGAATCTGAATTGACTTTGCAAAAATATAAAATAAAAATAAGACAAATTATAAGATTATCCCCCATAATCCTGTAACCCAGGGAGAAATAAATAGCCTATTAAGCAGATATAAATCCACATTAGTTCCTATTTCAGAAATGTAACCACATTGCATATCATGGTGTTTTTTGTATGTTGCATTTCAGCTCAAAATTATAAACAGCTTCACTGAAGTCTAATTTGTATACCATAAAATTCTCTTGTTTTAGTCATACTGATAATTTTAGTAAATTTGCAGAGCTTTGCAACCATTACCACAATACTATTTTTTTAACACGGTTTATTTATTTTTGAGAGCGAGACAGAGTACAAGTGGGGGAGGGGCAGAGAGAGAGGGAGACACAGAACAGGAAGTAGGCTCCAGGCTCTGAGCTGTCAGCACAGAGCCCAATGGGGGGCTTGAACCTATGAACCGTGAGATCATGACTTGAGCCGAAGTTGGACTCTTAACCGACTGAGCCACCTAGGCGCCCCGACCACAGTGCAATTTTAGACCATTGCATTACCCCCCAAAGACCCCTTATACCCATTTGTACTTCCTTTTCAGCCCCACCCCAGCTCCTGGTGAATGCTAGTCTATCTTCTCTATATTGATTTGCCTCTTCTGGATGTTTGATATAAATGGGAACATACGCTTTGTGGTATTTTGAATCTGGCGTCTTGTCCTTAGCATGTTTTCAAGGTTCCTTCTTGCTTTAGAATGTTTCACTACCTCATCCCTTTTGATGACTGGGTAATATTCCATTGTATGCATATTCCATATTTTGTTCATTCGTGTGTTGATTGTGAGGAATCATTCATGTGGGGAGCGTGGATTATTTCAGATGAGTAATGTTGCTGTGGATATTCATGTCCAAGTGTTTGTGTGGATTTACGTTTTCATGTCTCTGCGGTAGATATCTAGGAGTGAAATTATTTGGTCATATGGTAAAGTTTTCCAAAATGGTTATGCCATTTTACATTCCCACCAGCAATATATCAGAATGCTAGTTTCCCCACATCCTAGCCAGTACTTGCTACTGTCCATGTTTTTGATCATAGCCATCCCAGCGGGTGTGAAGTGATACCTCACTGTTTCGATTTGCATTTCACTACTGATTAACAATACCAAGCAGTTTTCCATGTGCTTACTGGCCATTCGAATATTTTCTCTGGTGAAATGCCCATTCACAATGTTGCCCATCTTCAATTGGGTGTCTCTTTATTATTGAGTCTCAGGAGTTCTTTATATGTTCTAGATACAAGCCCTTTATTAGATGTGATTTCCAAGTATTCCCCCAGTCTGTGGCTTTCGGTTTCTTAGTGCTGTCTTTAGAGGCACAAAGATTTTGAATTTTGATCAAGTCAGCTTAGCATTTTTTTTTTTTTTTTTTTTTGCTTTTATCACTTGTGATTTGGTGTCATGTCTAAGGCATCTTTGCCTGACCCTGCCACAGTTTAGAACAGACTTCCCCACCCCAACTCCTCATCAGTGTCTTGGCCGTGTTTCTACCTCAGTGCATACAGATCTGCATCATCATCCTTCATAGCTCTGGTTTCTGGAAAGAGGGGAGGGAAGAAAGGAGAGAAAAGGACCAGACTGTGCGGAATATCCAGAAACACTCGGCTTATCCTTGGGAGTTCCCAACTTTTCCCTTTTGGGTCATCTTGTGCCTAGCACCTCCTCTGTAGTTTGTGAATAAAAACTTTATTAGGCCATTAGCTTCATCACATTTTATGTGTTAGTATTGTGGTCACACAGATTCCTAGCCCCAAATTTTCAGCAGCCTTAGATCTCTCCACCACAGATCTAGGAATGCGATGCTCATAAGAAACATGGGTATTTCTGTAATATGGGATTTGACAGCTACTCCTTCCAGCATTTACTCCATTCTCTAAAAATGGATTGGACTTTGGGAATGATTCTGTTCTAGCTAATGCATTAAATTATAAATATATGGAAAAAGATAAGCAAATGGTACGTAACAGCAATTGGCATGTGTGTTTTAATGGCCCGATTCAGGAGCGTTCCTCCACAAACTGGTGGCGATCATGTAACAGGTCCCAGAATGAGATGAATGGCCATATCCTGGCCTCTGTCCCGAGTAGGGCTTCACCGACTCAGTGGGTAGGGTAGGAGGTATTGTGTAAAGCTAGAAGCTTCTTTAGGAAGTAATTTTCAGCCAGAGAACCCTAATGGAGAAAATGCAGGCTGAGGAAAAAGCCTCCTGTGTGTTTGCGTGGGGGGGGGGGGGTTCAGAAGAAGAATGGGAAAAGCAGGTTGGAGGATTTCAGAGCTCACTGTGAAAAATGCTCATTTGCTAAAAGGGGGGAACCAGATAACCATCTCACTGAGAAGCCAAGTAGGGTGAGTTCCATCATTTGCAAGGCTACCCCCCCCTCCGCCATGGGGCCCCAAGTTTGGAACCTGAGAACTAACACTGGGGCAAAGCAAGGGGAATGGGGGAAGGCGATGTGAGGGTGGCCCCCTGGCTGGACAACGCTGTTGTGGGGTTGGGGAGGTGTCACCGAGGGAACAGGTAGGTGCAGTCTTCCATGCTGGGTGGAAACTCTATGAGGCTGAGAAAGGGAGACCATTCAAAGTCCTTTCAGACACAGCCTTGGGTTTTTAACTTCTGGTTTTCACAAGGCAAACAATACCAAGCCACTGCAGGGGCCAGCTGCTGTTTGTATGGAATTTGCTGGAAGGCTAAGAAGCAGGGAGACCCTCTGGAAGCTACCGCAGATCCAGACAAGGTAAGGGCTGGTGTTCCACGGACTCGTAGGAAGAAATGATCAGCGGATCTGGGGAAGGGATTTGCTGGACCTGTGAACAGAGAGGGTGGGTGGGGGTGGGGAGAAGGCTGCAAGATGACGGTTTTCAGAGGGATCATTACAGCGCATGCACAGATCCTAAGTGTGGGATCTCTTTCGAGAAACGTCTACATCTGTTAAGCCCACCCCGCCCCCATCCCCATCGAGGTTTTTTAAAGGCTGAATTTCGCGTGCCTGCAGATCCTATGTGAAGCTGCCCCAAGGCAAGAAGCTGTATGCCCCCCCCCCCATGTGAGAAGCGACAAGAGCTGAAGTATAGATTTGAAAGTTATCTGGAGGCAGCAGGTGGAAATCCTGTGAATGTAGGAACACAAGTGTGGGAGGGATCAGTGGAGAACAGAAAGGCCCAATTTTTGGTGTGATCAAGCCCCACGCAGTGAGGGTCTCATTTGCTGATCACGTGAAGAGACTTCTCTTTTCTCAGGCCTTCAATCTCATACTTCGTTCTTTGAAGTATGAGGTATGAGAAACGAGAGAAGCCCGCTTTCGAGTTAGCTTCTGCCAACCTCTGCCCTACTCAACTAACTTGGAGAATGGGGGAAGGGAGCGAGAGAACCCCGCCGGGTGGGCTGCACCTCCCCCAGGCAGCTTGCAGGGCGGGGAGGCACAAATCCGCCTGCGCTGCGCTGGGGAGCTCAGCCTGCTGCGTGCAGCGCGCTCGGGCAGCCGGGCCTCCGCACCTGCGCGAGTACAGAGGTCGCCCCGTCCCCGCGGCTCTGCACCTCCCGCCGCACTCGCAGCCACCCTGCAGCGGTGCCCTCGGGGTTTGCAGCCAGTGCAAGCTAGCTCGCGGCAGCAACGCTACGGCCAGAGTGGGGGGACGGTGGGCGTGGCTGCGTTCCCTCTCGCCCTCTCCCGCCCAGGCAGTCCCGGGAACGTTCTGCAAAGTATCCAAAAGTTCTGCGCCCTGCGCGCGCGCCAAAAAAAAAAAAAAAAAAAAAGGCACCACCTCCCCCCTCCCCACTCCCGCCGTGCAGAGCGTGGTGTGGCCGGACCTCGCCACTCGCGCTGCACCTCCGGCTGCGGCGCACACGCCTTGTGCGCCTTCCGCTCCCGAGCCTTGCCGTCGGCGGGGCTCTTCCCTCGCAGCCGTCTCCAGACCAGAGAGGAGTCCGGGGGGCCCTAGCACTTCTCCGTGGGGCACCATGCCCAACGACGACGGATTCAGCAAGCCCTCCGCACCGTCGGAGGCCGGGGCACCCCCGCAGGGCAAGGCGGGGGGCTTCGGCAAAGCGGCAGGGCCGATGGTCCCTAGCGGCGGTGGCGCGGGCGCCGGGGGCAGCGGCGGCTCGGGCTCGGGCTCCGGCTCCGGGGCGTCGGGCACGGGCTCCGGGAGCAAGAAGTCCCCGCGGCTGCCCAAGTGCGCGCGATGCAGGAACCACGGCTACGCGTCGCCGCTGAAGGGTCACAAGCGCTTCTGCATGTGGCGGGAATGCCAGTGCAAGAAGTGCAACTTGATCGCGGAGAGACAGCGCGTGATGGCCGCGCAGGTGAGTGCGGGCGGCCGGGAGCGAAGCGGGCGCCACGTGGTCCCGGGGTTCTGGAGGGAGGCCGTGGGGCTCGCCGACGGCCGCGGAGCCCAGGTCTCCCGGCTGCGCGACGCGCCACCCCACGCCACCCTGGGAGGGCCGGGAGTGGTCTCTGATCCGACCCGCGGAGCCGGGGGTGGGGGGGGGTGCCGGCTTTGCTTGGCCCCGAAGCCCCGGGATCCCTGATCTCGCCCTATGGTACAGCTGCAGGGTTCGCCCCCTTTGGGGTTCCCCAGGATCTCTGGACCCTTTTACAGAGCAGAGAGTTGCAGGGTTCGCTCTTTTCCGAGCCCCCGGATCCCCGACCCTGCCCTCTAGCAGAGAGTTGAGGGTTTCGCCGCTCGGAGGGTCCCCAGGAAGGCTGATCCTGCTTTCCGAGCAGTAGGTTTCAGGGCTCGCTCTGACCGGGAGTCCCTGGATCCCCGACCGCGTCCTCCAGCCGTTGCGCCTTTCGCGCCTTTGAGGGTCCTCAGAATTCCTAGGATCTCTGATAGTTCTTCTTGGAGCACAGAGGTGCGGGGTTCGCCCCTTCAGGGGTCTCCAGCATTCCCAAGATCTCTGATCCCGCTTTCTGACCTGCTTTCGGCGCGGAGAGAGTTGCAGGTCCGCGCCGCCGGCGGTCCCGCCGATCCCCGACCTCGCTGCGCGGGGAGCGGAGAGTTGGGAAGCCCCGGGACCCCCGCCCCCGAGCTCCCGTTGGGGAGGGTGGTGGAGGGCGGCAGCGGGGGGGGGCCCGGGGGCAGCGCGGAGGCCCTAGCGGCCGCCACTCTAACGAGTCCCGCGCGGGTGGCCAGATCCTTCTGGAACAGTCGCCGCCGCGCGCGTGGTCCCCGGGCACCTCCAGGCGCGCTCCCCGAGCTCGCCGCCCGCCGGTCCGCGCCACGCGCATCAGCCATTTTGAGCCGCGGAAATTTTATTAGCGTTTCAAATTTTGGCGTCTCGACCTGGCCGAGTCAGGTCCAAGTTCCTTTAAGGATTTTTGAAAAGTCTCATATCCCAAAAAAAAAAAAAAGTCTGCGCCGGGGAGAAAATGGCAAGGGCTCCGGGGGTAGATCTGTAGTTCTTTTTCTTTTTTGAAAGCATCCCAAGCAGGACCTTAATTTAGCGTCTTAAGCGGAAATAGTTAGGGCCCTTGATATCCTGAAAAGGGTTTTAGGGGAAAATAGTATACATTCTTTCCAGCTAAAACTTGTTTCATCCCTTTTAAGAGAGTTTATTTAAGATGAAAAGATACAAAAGAAATGTTTACTAACGGTGCGCTACTTTTGACTGGGAACGTGTAGATATCGTCCGTGGAAAAGAATTCCTCTAGGAACGGTTGAACAAGATTGTGCTTTTTATATACATCTGATTTTTGAAAACGTGTCTTAAACTGGTTGTGTGTTGGCTTGACAGGTTGCAAGTGGACGTGCAGGTTATTTTCTTTATGGATTTTTGGCTTAATCTGTAGTGGGTGAAGAGAGAACAGTGATGTAGGGTTAAAATGCATCCCAGTGAGCTTACTGAGAAAGATTTAGGGACATGGAAGTTACATTTGTAGGTAGAAAAATATTCTGAACGTTTAGTTGTCAGCTTAAATATTTATTGTGGAAAGTATGTATGAGAGAATGGTCCTCAAAATGTAATTAAACATTTGTATTGAAGTAGGGCCATTCATTTTGGATAAACTAATGGGGCACCAGCTTGGGAAAAGGCTGTTTGCTATGCTAAAAACGAAAGGGATTTAGGATTACTTCTATAATATGAAACTTGAGCATTTTCCACACCAGAAAGCTTGCGCTGTGCTAGGTGAAGTCCTTTAAAATTCCCCGTACCAGCCATTCTTTTCATTCTGAATGTGTGAAGTTAAACTTAAATATGACCCTCAAAATGATAGTGTTTTAATCAGTTGCCCCACCTTCCGAGATTAAATAACATTTCTTTAAAATCTTTGCGAGGTCTTCTCTCGGACTCTCCCCTGCTCACCTTCTCTCTCCCTTCCTCCCTCTCAAAATAAATATCTTTAAAAAATAAATAAAGTCTTTGAGTGGTCTTCATAAAAGTGTCCTTAGTTTATGGCATATAATAAATACCCTGTGCCTTTTGTGCATGTGTGGGATTTGTGTAAATTGGGGTATCCGCATGCATGGACATACTTAAGAGATTTGTTTGTATTTTTTGTTGTTGCTCTGTTTTGGTCGAATCCTTCATATTCTGTTTCTAAACTTCGTTATTAATAGAAAATCCAAGACTTGGGGCACCTGGGTGGCTCAGTTGGTTAAGTGTCCGACATCGGCTCAGGTCATGATCTTACGGTTAGTGGGTTCGAGCCCCGAGTTGGGCTCTGTTCTGACAGCTCAGAGCCTGGAGCCTACTTCAGATTCTGTGTCTCCTTCTCTCTCTGACCCTCCCTTGCTCATGCTGCCGCACTCAGAAATAAATTAAAAAAAAAAAAAAATAAAAAAAAAAAAGAAAATCCAAGACTTAAGCTTAGTTGTTTATCTTAATTGATTATTTAAGGATTTTTCTTTTGTAAGTTGAAGACACTTGTGAGTAAAATTGTTTGCAAGTTAATCAGCTTGCTAAATGTGGACTACAATTTAACTAAAAACAACATGCAAGCCTAACTAAAACAACATGCAAGCCGTAGTTGTGTTTCTGGTTTGCCATTTTGATTTCAACGTTTGGCTTCTAGTTGGGCTTCCGAGGTAGAGCTATTTTACTTTCTCATTTCACTATTACCTATTGTCTGGTTTCAACAGAAAGTCTCTTTTGTTACATGTAGTATGCAAAAGCACTTTACTTTTATTTGCTTTACACTTTTTTCCCCCAAACCTTTAACAATGTTATTTAAAAGCAGAGAAATTGAAGAGGGACTGTGAGGAGTCTCTCAGGTAGTTTAGGTCCATTACACCCTCCCTTCCAGCTCCTTCCTTCCCGCCTGGCCTCTGCCTCTCTTTCTGCCTGCGGCCTCTCCCTTCCCTTGCGCAGGGACTTCAACACTGTGTTCCAGCCCCTTCTTCCCATTACTGCTCTGCATGCCAGGCTCCTCGTTCTAGACAGCAGGCCCCTGTGGGGTTTCCTCAGCAGCCCCTGCCTCCCCTCCCCCTCCCATGCTGTTCCACCCCTTCCTTCTCAGTCCGGGCGTTACTCATTCTGACCGTCAAGGCCCTGTTCGGGTACCACTTCTGGCTGATTCTTGCACTCAAAGCCATCTCTGCTAGAGTCCTGCTGTGGGGTTGATGTGTCCCTGTCCTGTGGCATTTGTCCCATTTCGTGGTGAGTCGCGGTTCCCTCCTGTTTCTGCTTTTAAGCAGTGAGTACCTTGGGAGCGAACCCAGTCTCGCTGTGTCTTGCTGGTGGCCATGCCCGGTACAGCCTTTTACAAACGTGCGGGGCCAAGGAGTGAGTGATCCCCTCTCTCTCCTTCCTTCCTCATCTACCAGAGCTGACTTCTCTTCAGCTCGAACTCCTCTGCCGGGCTGTCTCTCTGGGTTTTCCCCCATCCTCCGTGGCCAGCCTGATTTCCTGCTGCTCTGCGTACTCCTGGGTGTAAGGGACAGTGTGTGACCTACTGTGGGCCCTAACCCTTCTTCCGCTTGGGCTGCACGTCCTAGGTACCGGGGTGGCTTTCGCAAGGATTGAGAGAATCATGGGCCTCCATCTTGGAACTCCTAAATCAGCATGGGGGTGGGGGGAGGGACTGGGGCCTGGTGGTCGGGCGACGCCATGCTGTCGGGGTGGCGGGGGAGCGCAGGGGGGCTGACCTGTTGTCCTGTGCTTGCAGGTGGCCCTGCGAAGGCAGCAGGCTCAGGAGGAGGAGCTGGGGATAAGCCACCCCATCCCGCTGCCCAGCGCTGCAGAACTGCTGGTCAAGAGAGAGAATAACGGCAGCAACCCGTGCCTGATGGCCGAGAGCAGCAGCCCCTCGCAGCCGGGGCCGGCCAGCACCCCCACCACTGTGGCATCAGGTAAGGGGCCCGAGGCGCACAGGACCGCTGGCCAGGACGGAAGAAGGGCCGCGGTCTACCCATACGGTGGCAGGACTGTCCTGCACCACGCGTCACATCTAGAACATAAGGGGTCTCCCTCTGCAGGTCTGCTTTGGGCTGCCTCACAGAGGAGAGGGCCAGGAATTCTAGAACTGGAAGTCCGGTAGCTTCACTTTCCTGTTGGTTAATAGCTAAGTCTGAGTCTGGACAGAGTCAGACTCATTGAGAGAGGGCTGAGATTGGCCCCAGTTCCATCTCCGTCCACCCTCTGTGGGGTTCTCTTGGTGGCAGCTAAAGAGCCTTGTGTTCTAGAACCGAACGTCCCCTTTCTCTCGCAAGGACTGCAGTCCATTTGGGGAAAGTGTCTGCAAAGGTCCTGAGGTGCAGGAAGGTTAAGTGACCGGCTGAGTCCATTGAGCTAGGAAGTATCTGCCTTGATCCAACTGCCTTCAGAGCTCATTGTGCTAACCTGGCCTCCAAACTACCTCAGGAATTATGATGGTCTAGAGCCCCTCACCACGTATGGCCATTTACATTTATTCTAAGTACAATGAAATATGATGAAAACGTTAAACCAAGGAAGGTACACAATTCGTGTTAGCGATCATTAGGGAAATGCAAGTCAGAACTACAGTGAAATACCACTGTGCACCCATTAGGATGGCTGCTATAAAAAAAACAAAACAAAACCAGAACCCCAAAAGATAACAGTATCGGCGAGGATGGGGGGAAATTGGATCCTTTGTGCACTGTTGGCGGAGATGTAAAATGGTGCAGCTGACAGAAAACAATAGGGCATTTCCTCCAAACTTAGCGAAGAGAACGATCATATGACTCAGCAATACCTCTTCTGGTTTGTAGCCAGAAGAACTGAAAGCAGGTCTCCTAGGGACCCTGTCCCTGCACACTCACACTCATAGTAGCCTTCATAATGTGGAAGCAATCCGTGTGTCCACAGACAGATGAACGGGTAAACAAAAATGTGGTTTCTACGCACAGTGGAATATTATTCACCCTTAAAGAGGAAGGGAATTCTAAACTTTGTTTTTAATGTTCATTTTTGAGAGAGAGAGAGACATAGTGTGAGTAGGGGAGGGGCAGAGAGGGAAACCCAGAATCTGAAGCAGGGTCTAGGCTCTGAGCTGTCAGCCTGACATGGGGATTGAACCCACAAACTGAGATCATGACCTGAGCTGATATCAGGCACTTAACTAACCAACTGAGCCACCCAGGTGCCTCAAGAGGAAGGGAATTCTGCCACAAGCTACAGCCTGGATCACCTTGAGGATGTTATGCTAAGCGAAATAAGCCGGTCATGAAAGGACAGATACCATATTTTTCTACTTGCATACTTAGAGTAATGGAAATCGTAGAGACAGAAAATAGATTGGTGGTTGCCGGAGGCGGGGGGTGGGGGGGGGAGGGAGGGAATGGAGAATCAGTACTCTGTGGATGCAGAGCTGTAGTTCACAAGATGCAGAGAGCTCTGGAGATGGATGGTGGCAACAGTGGAGGTCTTTAATGTCACTGAAGCGTGCATTTAAAAATGGTCAAGATGGGAGATTTTACGTCATGTGTGTTTTACCACTAAGTACTCTGAAGGCACTTAGAGCTCAGGTGCTAATTATTTAAATTGTCGGAAAGTGTATATTTCCATTTTTCACCGAGTTCCACTTAATGGCACTGGCCTAGGATGCAGGGGTTCTAGGAAATCCAAGACCTGTGAAATCCTGTTGACAAGTAAATATGTATGCTGTTGGCCCTTAACAACACGGGGGTCAGGTGTACCAACCCCTTGCATGGTCAAAAATGCATGTATAACCTTTGGTTTTCCAAAACCTTAACTAATAATAGGCTACTGTTGAGTAGAAGCCTTACCGATAACATAAAACAGCTGATTAACAAGTATTTTGTATGTTTTCTGTATTATATAATGTATTTTTATAATGAAGTAAGCTAGAGAGAAGAAATGTTATGAAGAAAGTGATAAGGGGGAGAAAATCCATTAAAAGTACTGCTGTATTCGTAAAAAAAGTCCACGTATCACTGGACCCTTGCAGCTCAAATCTGTGTTGTTCAGTACACTGTATTACATACTGAAAACACATGCTAAGGGGCATCTGGGTGGCTCAGTCATTCAAGCAACGACTCTTGATTTCTGCTCAGGTCATAATCCAGGGTCGTGGGATCGAGCCCCACCTCCAGCTCCATACTCAGCATGGAGGCTGCCTAAGATTCTGTCTCATTCTCTCTCTGCCTCTCTCTCCAACTCATGTTCTCTTTGTAAAACAAAATAAAAATAAAATAAATAAAAAGATATGCTGAGATTCAAAGATCTTTAGAGATCTAAGGCTTCCTGAAATACAGCCTTGCAGTGTGGTTCCTCTTTTTTTTTTCAATTTTTTTAAATGTTTATTTATTTTTGAGACAGAGAGAAACAAGATCATGAGCGGGGGAGGAGCAGAGAGAGAGCGAGACACAGAATCTGAAACTGGCTCCAGGCTCTGAGCTGGCTGTCCGCGCAGAGCCTGACGCGGGGCTCGAACCCACGAACCGTGAGATCATGACCTGAGCCGAAGTCGGACCTGCATTGTGGTTCCTCTTAACTAAGCTTGTCATGAGTTAATCCGTCTGGTTACCAGCTGGGCTGAGGTCATTCATCTGTCTGCCACTTACTCTCTGTGCAAATTCGAACAAGTCACTTAAGCTCTCTGGGCCTTTTGTTTCCTCTTATCAAAAATGGGGGAGGAGATCTTTCAGGGTTTTGAAGACTGAGTCCTGACCATTATGAAGAAGGTAGAGGTAAGTAGGCAGTGAAGAAAGCCAGTGAGAGATGGAGCCCTTGCCTCTGTGCAGCAGGTAGGTGTGACTGTGTACCTTTCACTGTGACTATTGCTGAGGCTCTAGGCGCTGTAGTTCACAAGGAGAACTGTGTTTTCCTTCTTTGGCTTGGTTGCTTATAGTGTCTGCTTACAAAGGGTTTCCAGACTTCCCTTTTGTTAGGCAGGACTGACTATATCTATCAGCAATTGGATCTTTACACTCTGAGACTATCGCTGTGATTAAGGTTGATTACCAAATAATGCTGGGTCAGGGGCTGGGCTGGTGAATTTCGCTGGAGGGCTGAAATGGGAAAGGGGTGTGTCAGAAGAATACCGAGGGGGAGTGGGGAGTAACTCGTCTCATTTTCACAAACATCTTCTGAGGTAGGAACTCTTCGCATTTACGGTGAAGGAAAGCAGTGGTAAGTGAGCTGCCCCAGAATCAAGCTGGGTTGAACTGGGATTCTGTCCAGGGCTGTAAGGTCCCAAAGCCCATGGATCTTCCATTTTCCCTGCCTGGGAAGAGACTGGGGGAATGGTTGGTGTGTTCCTTGTCAAGTGGATCCTCAGAAGGGATTTAGGGCTACTGGGTAAGTTACGAACGTCGGGGGCAGAAGTCCCTGCCATTCACTGTTGCCATAGAAGGCTGCGGCCACCGACGTTCATGGGGAGGAAGAGTCAGAGGCCGGTAATGGATAAACGTCCGAGCTGGGCAGTTTCTGGGGCATCACAGGTGAACCTGGTTTAGCCAGCAGTCCGACACTCCACCTTGCCGGAAGGGATGTCAGAGCTGGATCATATACCCCAAGATAGGAGCTTTAGAGAAGGATCTCAGGCCAGATGGAGTTCAGCATGACAAAGACATTCTCAAAGAGTATTTCAGAGTGGCAGCCAGGGAAAGTTACAAATAGAAGCAGCAGGAGAGCAAGAAAGAAGGCTCAGGGTCAAGGAGGATGTGGCCACAGGGGCGCCTGGGTGGCTTAGTCAGCTAAGCGTCTGACTTTCGCTTAGGTCATGATCTCGCGGTTCGTGGGTTCGAGCCCCGCGTCGGGCTCTGTGCTGACTGCCAGCTCAGAGCCTGGAGCCTGTTTCAGAGTCTGTAACTCCCTCTCTGACCCTCCCCTGCTCACGCTGTCTCTCTCTCTCCTAGAAATAAATAAAACATTAAAAAAAAAAAAAAGGAGGCTGTGGCCACATTCCCTTCTTTGCCTCTGGAGCGGTAGACCTTGCAGGTATTTTGGAGTCTCAAATCAGCACTCCGAGGGAGGGGAGTGAGGAAGCCAGCGGTGTGCTGTGCTCATGTGATCCAGAGGAATCCCTCTCGAGGCTTCGCCACGGACGGGGGGCTCTGTCCTCGCCAGCCCACCTCCATCGAGCAAGGGCCCCAGGTACATGGTCTTGCTCCCAGAGTGGGAGGAGGGGCAGAGGGAAAGAGAGAGAGAGAGAGAGAGGGAGAATCCCAAGCAGACTCCATGCTGCAGTCAGTCTCAGGAACCGTGAGCTCACGACCTGAGCCAATATCAAGACTTGGACAATTAACCGACTGAGCCACCCCGGCGCCCCCGGAATTGCACCAGGGCTCTTGAGAGGAGATTGATAATTGCCAGACTGGGCTAGGTTATGAGCCAAGAGAAAGACAGAAAAGCCAGTAGAAGTAAACTACGTAAATAAAGAGAGGGAGGAAAAGAACGGAAGCGAGGTGGGGGAGAGAGAGAGAGAACCAAGAGAGACAGACAGGCTGACTGAAGAGTGTCCTTCAAGGTTCGTGATGCACGTGGGGCCCAACTTAAGATAGTTTGCTGCTAACAAATAAGGAGAGTTTATATTTAACTTGCAGAGATTGGGATTTATTTAAAAGAACATTTCACTTCATGCAGTAAATGGGAAACAGTACGTAAGGCATATTCAGCGAAATGGGATTGTCCTTCCAACCCCAACCTGCGAACGCCTTCTGTTTGGCATTCCAGCTACTGGCTGGATGTACAGCTTTATGTGTCTGTGGCTTTCAAAGATCTGTTATTCACGTATTTAACTTAATGGGAGCGCATCGTTCCTACTTGCGTGTAGTTTTATTTTTTTCTTAAGACAGCTGAAATTTTTTTAACGTTTATTTTTGAGAGAGAGCGGGTGTGTGAGGGAGCATTGGGGAGGGGCAGA